TATCGTTCGCTGCCCAGACTTTTCTTTGTAGCAAATTTTCTACAGCGCGGTTAGAGGTCTTACCAAATTTAAGACACGCAGAAGTCTTTCAGATGAGTACAATGGTTAACTTGGGGATTGGATTTCAATTCAAGAGCCTTTGACTCGTCCAGGTGTTAAACCTGACGAGAAGATGAGTATTTGCTCTTAGACTCCGCAACACGGGGGATATACAAATTCCTGCTTGCTAGATGTGAAAGTGAGAAAATGTCATGCCATGCTATTCTTAAGAACCTGTATGAGCCGAAAATGGATGTGATTTTGACCATTCGCTTCAAAATAACAGCGGAAATCGAGATAACAAAACATGTTTTGTGTCCCACGTTGCAGACGAGGACGTGTATCGGCGTTTTGAAAAGCATAATTATATTCTTTCATTCATTCATTGCCATGGAATATGCGTTTACATTGTTTTTTACTGTTAATAGCTCGATTAATGCGGCTGGCGATCATCTTGCCGGCGGAAGTTTCATGCAAAAAGCATTAAATTAAAGACTTTTCCCAAGATCACTTAATCAGTCTCTGTGGTGTAGTGGTTAGGTGTAGTCGCGTCGAGCCGAAGGTGCTGGGTTCGTATCCTGCCGAACTTTTTTTTTCCTTCTTTCTTTCTTTTTTTCCCGTTTTTTGTGTTGTTGTTTTCCATAAATATATAGGTAAATAACTGTTACTTAATAAAGTGCAATAAAAGCAAGAAAAGTATCGTGTTACCAGAGAAACGATAGTACACCATATATTAAATATATGGATAAACAATCTGAATTTCTATCATTTCCTACAATTTACTGTGGGAAAACCAGAGTTGATAACCACTTGATCATTTTCTAAACAACGTTCCCACGAGTTCTTTCTATAGACTGGTAGTAATTATTCTAGTACTTTCCAACATGTAAATAGGACATTCAATGTCATTTTCGATTCTTTCAAGTCCCACTACCTAACTAATGCCAGTATCAACAGAATGTGCCGCAGCATTACTATCTTTTAGATACCCTAGTAAGTTTTATATTATTTATCAAAAAACTCGAACACTGGAACAGCACTGAATTGCTGCTTCGAAAAGTGTATCGCTACCCCTAACGGTACCCCTACCTTATAGACTATACATCGCAGTACACCCAGGGAGTTCCCCTTTGTGGGATACTTACAATTAATATTTAGAGTGAAGTGTCTTGAATTCAACGAGCCTTGACATCGGTACTGGCCTCCATCTTGAGCAGTTATGGAATGTATATTCAGTGTATATGTATCACTATTCACTGAAACTGTAATCCTCCCAATGCTTGATGTTGTGATTCTCTGACCCGAGGGAGTTATCCAAGAATCAAAGGTTTCTCCTATTACGATGCAAGGCGCTCTTGAATTTCTTCCTGCCAAAATTGTTCTTTCTGTAAACGGCAATCTAACTGTTCCGTCTACAAGAAAAGAAGAAAAAGATCCCAAACCACTCATTATTTGATACTATTATTGTCATTATTATTATATTATCTATTATTATTATTATTTTTATATATTTAGCAAGAATGTCAAGTTTGGTGACAATTTATTATGTTCAAGCCTAGCTTCCGTTTTCAGAGGTCCGTTTTCAGAGGTGTATGTGGTGAAATTTTCGCTTTATTCCAAGCTTGTGTAGGTAATTTCCACCCTATACGGCCGTGGAAAGTTGTTCGAACACTTTATTTGGGATAACTTTACGGAATAAGGTTCAAAAGCTACAAAACAGAGCAGCCCGTGTTTTGACCTACTCAAGCTATGACGTAGATGCTGGTAACCTTTTCAAACTTCTAGGGAGGAAAAACCTAGCTTGCCAGCAACAAATTCAAAGGGCTACGATGGTTTACAGGTCTCAGCACGGGTTGGCTCCAAACTATCTTAGTTCTAAATTTGAAAGGCGAGAAGTCGCATATAACCCAAGGGACTCTGAAAATAAACTCAATGTTCCATTACCGCGCACAAACTAATATATAGATTTAGCCACAGCTAAAAGCGAAGCTCCCATTGATAAATTTATAACTTAAATCAAACAATAATTTTGTATTCCACAAATCAGTTAACTTAAGGGCACATTCATGTGACTTCTGAGGGAAAAGCTAAGTGATTTGGAGTGAAACAAACCTTGTATCGAGTTGACATAGCCTTATATGTACAGACAAAAAATAGTCCGGTCACATTTATGAGCAATAATGTCTCTTGATCACAGTAGATAAGGCGTGGAAAACAAGTTCTTGGAAAACAAATCAGGCCGAATTTTTTGCGTTCGACAAGTTTACAAATTCTTGCCAATAAATCTGGGTGCGTGCAAACCATTCTTTTATTTATTTATTTATTTTTTTTATACACCACATCTGAGGAGAAAGAGTACTATGAGGCGCTTTTTCTATCCTACAGACCTGGTACAAAATGCAGTATTACACAGTTTTTCAAGACAAATTGCATTCATTCAATACTCAGGATTATCGAAGCA